ATTCTAGGTAACAGAAACTAAAAATATGTTCAGGAACCTTGTAGAGTAGAACATACACCTTCGAAGTATCCGACGTTTGGCTTTCCTGAAGAACACTACCACACTTGTGAGTGCACTTGTACATCGGCTCGAGCATGTCACGTCCCCACATGGAAGTCATGAAATGAGTGCATGCAAACATGGCACGAAGTTGGGCCGCACCGTCCCCCATCACATTACCCGCATGTAACATGTACTCCAAATACTCGGAAACCTTCATGTCACCAGCCAGACAGTATTGACTTGAACCATGGCAGTAAACCGTTGACCAAGCGTCCAATGGCTGATTTATCAAGTTCTTGTCCTGTCACGTGCTGCGTGCATTTATCCTTACGTAAAGGACGCAAACAGAGCCTGCTTCTACACATATGGCGGTCTTGCCAGCACACAGCAAAGGTTACCTGAGTAGTCCTTCGTACAGCCGCAACTTTCGTCCATGCAAGCCCATGAACCATGCATTTAGCGGTAACCGCGCGGAATTAAGTCATTCAGGCATTGCAGGGTGTCTTGAGCCCTCAGTCCCTTTCCTGCAATCTCCAGCTGCCAACCTTCTCACATGACTGTAAGACGTGGCGGGACGGACCGTGGGGTGTCGTGGCGGTCGCTGCTGAAAGCTTGAAGCATTCCGCCTGGAACACGGCAGATGAAGTTCGAAATCTGACATCACGGAGGAAGGTCCCTGGGACCCCTAAGAGAGCACCCTGTTTCGAGAATCTCCCACATGGTAGTTTGCAAATACGAGGACCCCGATATATACCCCAAAATGGTGTAATCCTCATTATGGGGACGCGGGAAAACCCCAAAACCCTATAAACCCCACAATATCCGACATCCCCATACGTCCCTATATAACCCCTTAAAAGTACACTAGTTTTGGGAAACCCCTGTAATAACTGTCCATCAACGTTCTGAAGTTCAAACCTGAGTTCAAATCTAAGGTTAGAAGTATGGCCCCCTAACATGGGTTCTTAACCCTGTTATAGTGTGTGTATATAGTAGGTGTCTAAGGATCCCAGGGTTAAGAGCCCATACTAGGGGCCAAGGTCTTGCCCCAAACCCTAAACCCTAAAACCTCTAAACCCTAAAACCTCTAAACCCTAAACCCTCAAACCTAAACCCTAAGCCCTTAAACCTCTAAACCCTAAGCGCTTAAACCTCTAAACCCTAAGCCCATAAGCCTCTAAACCCTAAAGATCAAAGGACGGAGGCCTGGTCAGGATTCTGCAGCTTGAACTCGATGGAGATGAGAAAATGCCTGCTTCATTCAGGTGATATGGGGATTATATGGATAGGGGTTGTATGGGAGCATATACAGATATATATATATATATGTGTGTGTATAATAGGGATTATGTGACCTTAGTCGAAACTCCTGGTATCCCCACCCCTTAATAACCACCATAATACTCTTATACATATATGTAAGCATATATAATCTCCATAATCCCCTTAAGGAGTTTAGACGATAGCTCATATGAGGATTGCAGGGATCTATGGGGGTTGTATAGGGGAATGGGAAAGAGAATGGAAGCTACTAATCAGAGTTGAGGGCTTTTGGGATTAAATCGGGGGTGGGGTTGTTGAATGTTGGGGTGAAGTGCTCATTATTCTAGGCAGGTTCCTTGCATGGACAATTTCAATGTGATTGCTTCCCATAACTTTAACATCCATACTGCCTTCCCCGGCCGGTGGTAAGCAGGCTTAAATGCCCAGCCACTCTAGTCAAGGTTTCAGTGTGCCCCTGCTGGCACTCTCCTGGAGTTACGGTGTTGGGTCTAGGGCTTAGGGCTTAGGATGTAAGATTTAAGGTTTAGACTGGAATCGATTTAAGGTTTGGACTTCGGAGGCTTCAACTGGTGCTTGGGCAGGGGTTTAGGATTAAGGTGATCAAGCGCTGTAGACTAGAGCCGCCATACTTGAGATGCAGAACGGAATTTATGGGTTCATTTTGGCCTGCCTGTGGCTTCGGGTCAAAGGTCTAATCCGCGGCTGGTAGGCGCAGAGGTTCCCAAGCCAGCGGCGCAGACAACAATCTCGTCTATGAGACCGCATCGACTAGAAGTTAGAGAGCTGACTCACTTTGCAGAAAGA